ATACCACTACAAATAATTAACCACATATCAGTACTACATATACCACCACAAAAGTTTACCATACATCAGTACTACATATACCACCACAAATAGTTTACCATACATCAGTTCTTCGTCTACTACTACAAATAGTTTACCACACAACAGTACCACATATACCACCACAAATAGGTTACCACAAATCAATACTACATATACCATTACGAATAGTTTATAATGCATCAGTACTACTTGCACCACTACACATAATTTACCACACATCAGTACTTTATGTACCACCACAAATAGTTTACCACAAATCAATAATACATATATCAATACAAATAGTTTACCATATATCAGTACTACATATACCACTATAAATAATTAACTACATCAGTACTTTATGTACCACCACAAATAGTTTACCACAAATCAATAATACATATATCAATACAAATAGTTTACCATATATCAGTACTACATATACCACTACAAATAATTTACTACATCAGTACTTTATGTACCATTACAAATAGTTTACCATAAATCAATAATACATATATCACTACAAATAATTTACCACCATCAGTACTACATATACCACTACAACTAACTTACCACACATCAGTACTAGATATACCACCACATTACTTACCACACATCAGTACTAGATATACCACCACAAATAGTTTACCATACATCAGTACTACATATACCACTACAACTAATTTAACACACATCAGTTCTTCGTGTACCACAACAAATAGTTTAAAACAAATCAATAATACATATATCACTACAAATAATTTACCACCATTAGTACTACATATACCACTACAACTAATTTACCACACATCAGTACTACATATACCACCACAAATAGTTTACCATGCATCAGTACTACATATACCACTACAGATAGTTTATAATACATCAGTGCTACTTGCACCACTACAAATATTTTACGACACATCAGTTCTTCATGTTTCACTACAAATAGTTTACCACACCTCAGTACTACGTGTACCACAACAAATAGTCTACCACACATAGATACTACATATACCACTACAAATAGTTCACCACACATCAGTACTAAATATACTGCTACAAATAATGCACCACACATCAGTTCTTCATGTACCACTACAAATATCTTACCACACTCCAGTATAAAGTGTTGTTGTGGTACACGTAATACTGGAGAGTGGTATGTTTTTGTAGCAGTATATGTACGTGTACCACAACACATAGTTTACTACACATCAGTACTACATATACCACAACACATAGTTTACCACACATCAGTACTACGTGTAACACAACAAAAATTTACCACACATTAGCACTACATATACCACTACAAATAGATTACCACACATCAAAACTACAAATACCACTTCAAATAGTTTACCACACATCAGTTCTTCATGTACCAATACAAATAGTTTACCACACTCCAGTATTACGTGTTGTTGTGGTACACGTAGTAATGGAGTGTGGGTTTTTTTGTAGCGGTATATGTACGTGTTCCACAACAAATAGTTTACTACACATCATTACTACATATACCACTACAAATAATTTACCACACAGCAGTTCTTCATGTTCCACTACAAATAGTTTACTACACATTAGTACTACATATACGACTAAATATAATTTACCACACATCAGTACTACATATACCACTACAAATTGGAGTAGTGGGACACTGGTAATACAGTGACACCTATTACCACTGTACTGTATGAGACTTGGAGTAGTGGGACACTGATAACACAGTGACACCTATTACCACTGTCCTGTAAGAGACTTGGAGTAGTGGGACACTGATAACACAGTGACACATATTACCACTGTAATGTAAGAGACTTGGAGAAGTGGGACACTGATAACACAGTGACACCTATCACCACTGTACTGTAAGAATCCTACAGAATTGGGACACTGATAACACAGTGACACCTATTACCGCTGTACAGTAAGAGACTTGGAGTATTGGGACACTGATAACACAGTGACACCTATTACCACTGTAATGTATGAGACTTGGTGTATTGGGACACTGATAACACAGTGACACCTATTACCACGTACTGTCCTGTAAGAGACTTGGAGTATTGGGACACTGATAACACAGTGACACATATTACCACTGTAATGTAAGAGACTTGGAGAAGTGGGACACTGATAACACAGTGACACCTATTACCACTGTACTGTAAGAATCCTACAGAATTGGGACACTGATAACACAGTGACACCTATTACCGCTGTACAGTAAGAGACTTGAATTAGTGGGACATTGATAACACAGTGACACCTATTACCACTGTACTGTATGAGACTTGGAGTATTGGGACACTGATACCACAGTGACACCTATTACCACTGTCCTGTAAGAATCCTACAGAATTGGGACACTGATAACACAGTAACACCTATTACCACGTACTGTACTGTAAGAGACTAGGGGAATGGGGACACTGATAACACAGTGACACCTATTACCACTGTACTGTAAGAGACTTGGAGTATTGGGACACTGATAACACAGCGACACCTATTACCACGTACTGTATGATACTTGGAGTATTGGGACACTGATATCATAGGGACCCTTATTACCACTGTACTGTAAGAATCCTACAGAATTGGGACACTGATAACACAGTGACACCTATTACCACTGTACTGTATGAGACTTGGAGTATTGCGACACTGATATCATTGTGACACCTATTACTGATAACACAGTAACACCTATTACCACGCACTGTACTGTAAGAGACTAGGGGAATGGGGACACTGATAACACAGTGACACCGATTACCACTGTACTGTAAGAGACTTGGTGTATTTGGACACTGATAACACGGTGACACTTATTACCACTGTACTGTATGAGACTTGGAGTATTGCGACACTGATATCATTGTGACACCTATTACTGATAACACAGTAACACCTATTACCACGTACTGTACTGTAAGAGACTAGGGGAATGGGGACACTGATAACACAGTGACACCGATTACCACTGTACTGTAAGAGACTTGGAGGATTGGGACACTGATAACACAGTGATAACTAGTACCACTGTACTGTAAGAGACTAGGGGAATGGGGACACTGAGAACACAGTGACACATATTACCACTGTACTGTAAGAGACTAGGGGAATGGGGACACTGAGAACACAGTGACACATATTACCACTGTACTGTAACAGACTTGGAGTATTGGGACACTGATAACATAGGGACCCTTATTACCACTGTACTGTAAGAATCCTACATAATTAGGACACTGATAACACAGTGACACATATTACCACTGTCCTGTAAGAATGCTACAGAATTGGGACACTGATAACACAGTAACACCTATTACCACGTACTGTACTGTAAGAGACTAGGGGAATGGGGACACTGATAACACAGTGACACCGATTACCACTGTACTGTAAGAGACTTGGAGGATTGGGACACTGATAACACAGTGATAACTATTACCACTGTACTGTAAGCGACTTGAGGTAGTGGGACACTGATAACACGGTGACACTTATTACCACTGTACTGTATGAGACTTGGAGTATTGGGACACTGATATCATTGTGACACCTATTACCACTGTACTGTAAGAATCCTACATAATTAGGACACTGATAACACAGTGACACCTATTACCACTGTCCTGTAAGAGACTTGGTGTATTGGGACACTGATATCGTAGGGACACTTATTACCACTGTCCTGTGAATCCTACAGAATTGGGACACTGATAACACAGTGACACCTATTAGTACTGTACTGTTAAAGACTTAGTGTATTGGGACACTGATATCACAGGGACACTTATTACCACTGTACTGTAAGAGACTTGGAGTATTGGGATACTGATAACACAGTGATAACTATTACCACTGTACTGTAAGAGACTTGGTGTATTGGGACACTGATATCGTAGGGACACTTATTACCACTGTCCTGTGAATCCTACAGAATTGGGACACTGATAACACAGTGACACCTATTAGTACTGTACTGTTAAAGACTTAGTGTATTGGGACACTGATATCATAGGGACACTTATTACCACTGTACTGTAAGAGACTTGGAGTATTGGGACACTGATAACACAGTGATAACTATTACCACTGTACTGTAAGAGACTTGGAGTAGTGGGACACTGATATCATAGGGACACTTATTACCACTGTCCTGTGAATCCTACAGAATGGGGACACTGATAACACAGTGACACCTATTACCACTGTACTGTAAGAGACTTGGAGTATTGGGACACTGATATCATTGTGACACCTATTACCACTGTCCTGTAAAAGACTTGGAGTAGTGGGACACTGATAACACAGTGACACCTATTACCACAGTCCTGTAAGAGACTTGGAGTATTGGGACACTGATAACACAGTGACACCTATTACCACTGTACTGTAAGAATCCTACATAATTAGGACACTGATAACACAGTAACACCTATTACCACTGTCTTGTAAGAGACTTGGAGTAGTGGGCCACTGGTAATACAGTGACACCTATTACAACTGAACTGTAAGAGACTTGGAGTAGTGGGACACTGGTAATACAGTGACACCTATTACAACTGTACTGTAAGAGACTTGGTGTATTGGGACACTGATAACACAGTGATACTTATTACCACTGTCCTGTAAGAGACTTGGAGTATTGCGACACTAAATAAATACAGAAATACCTATTCCCTATGTACTGCAAGAGAGAGTATTGGGTGCTTATTCGGAAACACATAAACAGAATGTTGTTTATTAAAAATACCATTTACAGGTAAAAGCTATTTTCTACCTTTTACCTTTGTTCATACCCCAACAACTCGTGCTAATGTTTCTCCAAATAGATATATATTTATATTCACATATAAACGTGAAAAGGAAATACATGTATACACAAGTAAGTTTCATTTTTAAACTAAACAGTTACTGTCGGGGGAAAAGAAACATAAAGAACTCACCTTACTAGGCACTGTGTTGTTTGCCTGGCCGTTTAACCTTTATAGTTACACGTGTTCTCTCTTCAACACCAAACTCTGTATTAACAGATTATCCGTTAAAGAGTCCACACCGCTATGTAGAGAGGTAATCTACCTGACGGGAAAGAAGTCACTACTTATGTGTTAATCTCGGCATTACATGTTGTAATGGTATTTCATCAAGTCACGTGTTGACATCGCAATATACACATGGTCCAATAATTGACCATTCAATAAAATAACGTTAATTCCTAAATTAGTTCAAAGTAATGCTGCATATGTCCAATACTACATATAACAAAAGACGAAAAGTATGTAACAAAACGACTGTGTATCAATAAGGTTTTGTTGAATCAAAGCATGAGAGTGATTATCCTCAGTGATGCTATGTAAAACAGGTTAGATCTTGGCAAATATGAACAGGTGTACATGTATGTACAAGTCTATGCCTATTCGTACCTTCTCTGCAGCGGAATTAACACAGGAATGTGTCAAAGGAAGGTTATATTACAAAGGGAGTATATAACAAAGGAAGTGAAATAGCAAATAAGGTGAATAAGAAGTTAATATAACAAAGGAAGTGAATATAGCAAATAAAATGAATATAACAAAGGGAGTAAATACTATAAAAGAAGTTAATGTAACGAAGGAAGTTAATATTACAAAAGAAGTTTATAAAACAAAGGAAGTCAATTTGGCAAAGGAAGATAATATAACCAAGGAGGTTGATGTAGCAAAGGGAAGTCATATAACAGAGAGAAAATTATTATAACAAAAGAGATGAATATTACAAAAGAAGTTTATATAACAAAGGAAGTTAATATAACAAAGGAGGTGAATATTACAAAAGAAGTTTATATAACAAAGGAATTTAATATAACAAAGGAGATGAATATTACAAAAGAAGTTTATATAACAAAGGATGTTAATATAACAAAAGAGGTGAATATTACAAAAGACGTTTATATAACAAAGGAAGTTAATATAACAAAGAAATTAAATATAGCAAAGGAGGTGAATATTACAAAAGAAGTTTATATAACAAAGAATTTAATAAAACAAAGGAATTTAATCAAACAAAGGAGGTGAATATTACAAAAGAAGTTTATGTAACAAAGGAAGTTAATATAACAAAGGAGGTGAATATTACAAAAGAAGTTTATATTACATTGGAGGTGAATATTACAAAAGAAGTTTATATAACAAGGGAGGTGAATATTACAAAAGAAGCTTATTATTAACAAAAGAATTTAATATAACAAAGGAGGTGAATATTACAAAAGAAGTTTATTATTAACAAAGGAATTTTATATAACAAAGGTGGTGAATATTACAAAAGAAGTTTATATAACGAAGGAATTTAATCAAACAAAGGAATTTAATCAAACAAAGGAGGTGAATATTATAAAAGAAGTTTATATAACAAAGGAGGTGAATATTACAAAAGAAGTTTATATAACAAAGAAAGTAAATATACCAAAATAAGGTAATAAAATATAACAAAGGACGATAATATAGCAAAGGAAGATAGTATAACAGAGGTTGGTGATATAACAAAGGGAGATCATATAAAAGAGGTAGGTAATATAACAGAGGGAGGTAATATAACAGAGGGGGTTATATAACAGAGGTAGGTGATATAACAGAGGGAAGTAATATAACAGAGGGAGGTAATATAACAGAGGTAGGTGACATAACAGAGGGAGGTGATATAAAAGAGGGAGGTAATATAACAGAGGGAGGTAATATAACAAAGGGAGGTAATATAACAGTGGCATGTGACATAACAGAGGAAGGTAATATAAAAGAGGGAGGTAATATAACAGAGGGAGGTAATATAACAGAGGGAGGTGACATAACAGAGGAAGGTAATATAACAGAGGGAGGTGATATAACAGAGGGAAGTAATATAACAAAGGGAGGTAATATAACAGAGGCAGGTGACATAACAGAGGAAGGTAATATAAAAGAGGGAGGTAATATAACAAAGGGAGGTAATATAAAAGAGGGAGGTAATATAACAGAGGGAGGTAATATAACAGAGGGAGGTGATATAACAGAGGAAGGTAATATAACAGAGGTAGGTGATATAACAGAGGTAGGTGATATTAAAGAGGGAGGTAATATAACAGAGGGAGGTAATATAACAGAGGGAGGTGATATAACAAAGGGAGGTAATATAACAGAGGCAGGTGACATAACAGAGGAAGGTAATATAAAAGAGGGGGGTAATATAACAGAGGGAGGTAATATAACAGAGGGAGGTAATATAACAGAGGGATGTAATATAACAGGCAAAGGTTATATAACAGCGGGAGGCAATATAACAGAGGGATGTAATATAACAGGCAAAGGTTATATAAAAGAAGGCGGTTATATAACAGGCAAAGGTTATATAACAGAGGGAGGAAATATAACAGAGGGAGGTGATATAACAGAGGATGGTAATATAACAGAGGGAGGTGATATAACAAAGGGTGGTAATATAACAGAGGCAGGTGACATAACAGGGGAAGGTAATATAAAAGAGGGGGGTAAAATAACAGAGGGAGGTAATATAACAGAGGGAGGTTATATAACAAAGGGAGGTAATATAACAGAGGTAGGTGACATAACAGAGGGAGGTGATATAAAAGAGGGAGGTAATATAACAAATGGAGGTAATATAAAAGAGGGAGGTAATATAACAGACAAAGGTTATATAACAGAGGAAGGTAATATAACAGAGGTAGGTGATATAAAAGAGGGAGGGAATATAACAGAGGGAGGTGATATAACAAAGGGAGGAAATATAACAGAGGCAGGTGACATAACAGGGGAAGGTAATATAAAAGAGGGGGGTAAAATAACAGAGGGAGGTAATATAACAGAGGGAAGTAATATAACAGAGGGATGTAATATAACAGGCAAATGGTATATAACAGACGAAGGTAATATAACAGAGGGATGTAATATAACAGGCAAAGGTTATATAAAAGAAGGAGGTTATATAACTGGCAAAGGTTATATAACAGAGGGAGGAAATATAACAGAGGGATGTAATATAACAGGCAAATGGTATATAACAGACGAAGGTAATATAACAGATAACAGAGGTAGGTGATATAACAGAGGTAGGGGATATTAAAGAGGGAGGTAATATAACAGAGGGAGGTGATATAACAAAGGGAGGAAATATAACAGAGGCAGGTGACATAACAGAGGAAGGTAATATAAAAAAGGGAGGTAATATAACAGAGGGAGGTGAGATAACAAAGGGAGGTAATATAACAGAGGTAGGTTATATAACAGGCAAAGGTTATATAACAGAGGGAGGAAATATAACAGAGGGAGGTGATATAACAGAGGAGGGTAATATAACAGAGGTAGGTGATATACCAGAGGGAGGTAACATAACAGAGGTAGGTCATATAAAAGAGGGAGGTAATATAACAAAGTGAGGTAATATAAAAGAGGGAGTTAATATAACAGAGGGAGGTAATATTAAAGAGGGAGGTAATATAACAGAGGAATGTAATATTACAGAGGGAGGTAATATAACAGAGGTAGGTGATATACCAGAGGGAGGTAACATAACAGAGGTAGGTCATATAAAAGAGGGAGGTAATATAACAGACAAAGGTTATATAACAGAGGGAGGTAACAGTGGCATGTGACATAACAGAGGAAGGAAATATAAAAGAGGGAGGTAATATAACAAAGGGAGGTAATATAACAGAGGCAGGGGACATAACAGAGGAAGGTAATATAACAGGCAAAGGTTATATAACAGAGGGCGGTAATATAACAGAGGGATGTAATATTACAGAGGGAGGTAATATAACAGAGGGAGGTGAGATAACAAAGGGAGGTAATATAACAGAGGCAGGGGACATAACAGAGGAAGGTAATATAACAGAGGTAGGTCATATAAAAGAGGGAGGTAATATAACAAAGTGAGGTAATATAAAAGAGGGAGTTAATATAACAGAGGGAGGTAATATTAAAGAGGGAGGTAATATAACAGAGGAAGGAAATATAACAGAGGGATGTAATATAACAGGCAAATGTTATATAACAGACGAAGGTAATATAACAGATAACAGAGGTAGGTGATATAACAGAGGTAGGGGATATTAAAGAGGGAGGTAATATAACAGAGGGAGGTTATATAACAAAGGGAGGTAATATAACAGAGGCAGGGGACATAACAGAGGAAGGGAATATAAAAGAGGGAGGGAATATAACAAAGGGAGGTAATATAACAGAGGCAGGTGACATAACAGGGGAAGGTAATATAAAAGAGGGGGGTAAAATAACAGAGGGAGGTAATATAACAGGCAAAGGTTATATAAAAGAAGGAGGTTATATAACAGGCAAAGGTTATATAACAGAGGGAGGTAATATAACAGAGGGATGTAATATAACATGCAAATGTTATATAACAGACGAAGGTAATATAACAGAGGGAGGTAATATAACAGAGGGATGTTATATAACAGAGGGAGGTAATATAACAAAGGGAGGTAATATAACAGAGGTAGGTCATATAAAAGATGGAGGTAATATAACAGGCAAAGGTTATATAACAGAGGGAGGTAATATAACAGAGGGATGTAATATAACAGGCAAATGGTATATAACAGACGAAGGTAATATAACAGATGGAGGTAATATAACAGAGGGAGGTAATATAACAGAGGAAGGTAATATAACAGAGGGAGGTAATATAACAGAGGTAGGTAATATAACAGGCAAAGGTTATATAACAGAGGGAGATTACAAAGGTAAGCAATTTCACGGAGGGAGGAAATTAATGAAGGTGCTATAACAAAGGAAAATAGCAGGGCACTGTCGCATTTGAACTTTACTACATGTATGAATTGACCCGTGGTATCCCACTTCGTGTCGTAAAAGGCGACGTATGTGCCTCCCCTCCCCCATGCAGAAACAGGGGCTTTCTCCTGTGTCTTCTGCTAAGGAGATATTGAAGAAACCATAACTGATCTGCTGCTCCCACTGACAAAATATAAGATCTTTATATTTTCTTTCTTCTACCTTAAAACCTTTTTGTTTCCGAGTGCTCTGCTTAGCAACATCTCACTTTTGGCCTTAGTGTCGAGTGGTCGCCCAAGTTGGGTAGGAAATGGGTTCTGTCCCCAGGCCGGAACATACCAAAGTCCTTATTTCCATACCAAATTTGTACTTGTTATTCCCTGC